GTCATAAGCCACTTTAGTACATGTAGCAGTCACCTGCATATTAGCCCTTTTTGTTACAATGTCAGTGATCTTTTGTTGCTTTGTAACAGGATGTGGGGACGAAGCACACTTTCTCTTCTTATTTTTCTTTTTGTTTTCGGACTACCGACGAACCTTTTTAGTCCCAGTTCGGACGAAGTCCGAAAACGGTTCTGTCCGTCCTTCTGGATCCATTTATCGGACAGCCTTTGACCGATCTCGTTCAAACTTGGTATACAGACAATCTATAATGACCTACATATGCCAATTGTCGTTACGATTCAATTAAATATGGCTAACTGGCAGCCATTTTGTCCCTCAAATTTGCTAAATTCTGATATTTAAACGTGAACAGGGCGATTTCAATCAAACTTTGTATGGTGATCATGCATATTGGGTTATTGGTGCACGTCACTTTTTTTTCAAGATTCGGTCCAAAATGGCCGACTCACAGCCATGTCAATTTTTTTTTATTTTTGTGCTGATTCCTCTGAAAGATATCGCCTGATTCACTTGAAAGTTTGTACATAGGTACTATACTTCAAGACAATACAACACCATGTTTTGTTTTAAAATTTGATCAAATTTGCTAAATTCTGATATTTAAACGTGAACAGAGCGATTTCAATCAAACTTTGTATGGTGATCATGCATATTGGGTTATTGGTGCACGTCACTTTTTTTTCAAGATTCGGTCCAAAATGGCCGACTCAGCCATGTCAATTTTTTTTTATTTTTGTGCTGATTCCTCTGAAAGATATCGCCTGATTCACTTGAAAGTTTGTACACAGGTACTATACTTCAAGACAATACAACACCATGTTTTGTTTTAAAATTTGATCAAATTTGCTAAATTCTGATATTTAAACGTGAACAGGGCGATTTCAATCAAACTTTGTATGGTGATCATGCATATTGGGTTCTTGGTGCACGTCACTTTTTTTTCAAGATTCGGTCCAAAATGGCCAACTCACAGCCATGTCATTTTTTTTTTATTTTTGTGCTGATTCCTCTGAAAGATATCGCCTGATTCACTTGAAAGTTTGTACATAGGTACTATACTTCAAGACAATACAACGCCATGTTTTGTTTTAAAATTTGATCAAATTTGTCGAAATGGCGGCCATTTTGTTTAATATCTTAAATTCACAGTCTGTAACGTGTCTGGAACTGTTTCCCGAAGCTGAATAGGGCGATTTCAATCAAACTTTATATGATGATCATGTATATTGGGTTACACGTGCACGTCATATTTTTTTTCAAAATTTGGACCAAAATGGCCGACTGTTTTGTCTTGAACTTTGATCAAATTGGTCGAAATTGAGGCCACTTTGTCAAAAAAACGTAAAATAGCAGTAAAATAGCAAGTCTTTTCTACCACCGTTGAAGATAATGAAAAAAAAATGTTGGATATGATGAACTCCTAAAAAAAAAAATTGCAAGCAAACCTACTGATAAAAAAAAAATTTCCAAACACATAAAAAAAATAAAAAAAAATTGCCTTTCACTGAGTTGACCCCCCCCCCCTCAAAAATCAAATGGTCCAACCCTAATAGTACATCATATTTGAATATTGGGACACCAGAGGGCGCAAAACCAACACCGTATTTAACCTTTGACCTTCCTTATCGGAAGAAGAAGTTGTATTTTCCGTTTACAGTTTCAGGTTGTAACAGTTGTTTTCTTAGTGCCCATATGTTGTAGGTGGCATGCTGTACTAATCAATGTATCTCTGGGACGCCTCTTAGTAAGTAATGACTTATGTATTCCATCATTTTTGATTCCATCAAATTAGTTTATACATTTATACGGAGCCAAAACAAAGGTAGGAAGATAACTGCCATGTCTAGGGGGTGTGGCGAGAACTGCACAGCTATCAGGAAGTAGATTGATCACAAGTTACTGTTACTGCTTTTTACTAATTTATCTTCTTTTGGGCACCATAGACAATTTGATTTTTTTACATGTTGTATCACATCAGGCATAGTCACTTTACTAGTAGAGTGACTGTGCACCAAGGCATACTTTGTGTTCTCTCTCTCTCCAGTCTGTCTCTCTCAGTCAGGTCGTCAGTCTTCCCGGAAATGTGCAAGTCCACTCATTAAAGAACGGAATACTGTAAAATGACTAATTTTCACTGGGTTTAAATTTCACTGATTTACCATTTCAGGCATATTCAGTGAGTTTTAAATTCACGGTTTCGTCATTTAGATAATGTGTTCTATGCTAAATATTACATATTCACTGTGTTTTAATTTAGCGCATTTTTCCAGTCAGCGAAATAAGCTAAATTAAAACCCAGTGAATAATTTTCCCCTTTACAGTAATCGTTTCCGTGTACATCTCTTGTATGTTTTTTGTTTAGATAGCACAAGGTGGTAGGAATTTTCACATGATACCATTAAGTCTGCGTCATCACCATGTGAATAACACATCTTTGAAATCAAGGAAATGTAAACACCAAAAAATTAAAACAAGGTACCTAATAATATTAACAGATGAATATCAGTGTCATGGTTGTGATGTAATTGCAAACTGGCTTTAAACAATGACAATAAACCAACTGAAGTCATGCAACAGTTGAAAGCATGTTGCAGCGTATTTAGAAATCTCATGCAAAATAACTTGATGTAGTTTATAAATATTCATGTAAAGTGAAACTAAATTTAGCATTAAAACCTAATCCATGTTTAATAAGACCATGTACAGCACTACTGTGTGTAAGGCTAGGATAAGATACTAGTATTTGATTTGAAATTTACGCAATTCAATACTTTAAGTCAAATAAAAATTAGAATTCTGGTTGTTGATGGATGTTGAAGGTGCATGGCCTCCAAAAGACAGCAAAATAAGTTATAATTTGCAGAAAAAACATCAATGGTAGCAGTTCATCATCATGAGGCATTATCTCACTATATGGCCTCAGCCATACTTTGATTAATTTACCAGCAACATCTATTGTTACTCATTCAAAGCTGTATGGACTCAACAAATATTTGTTACAAACGTAGAAACCAAATTTCGGTATGAGTTACTTAGTCTGATAGATTGTTTTATTCTCAAAATACTATTTTATTTTATTAAATAAATGGTTTAATAAATAATAATAATAACCTTATTGACAGGTTATCCCTATTGGGATTTTCATCAAGTACAATAAAGTGAGATGAAAAAGATACTTGAAAATAACAAGACAAAAAAATAACAGAAAGAAAAATACAATCTAGTGTATTGCATGCAGATGCACCAATGATGTCATGGTATCTATCACTAACTGCTACAATATGTATTCCATACCTAACATCAACATTTCTCTTGTAATGTTCACATTGAGAAAATCACCTGTCACATCTAACAAGTGACAAGTGGGTCTTTCTGGGGGTCAGAGTTCACTCTAAATGTGAGTTTCATGATTATATTTAAAAAAAATGAAAACAGTTCAACATGGACACAATTGGGATATAATATTGAAAATGATACACTGCCCCCAAAATGGCCTACTAAAAGCTTGTTCTTTGAGAAATATGAAATATATCTTTAAATAATATAAGACTTGTGATCTGTGTTTTGCTTTGAGCCAGAAATAATGCTATAATATCTATGTAAATAGTACCAGCTTGTGGTCTGTGTTTTGCTTTGAGCTAGAAATAATGCTATATCTATATAAATAGTACCTGACTTTAATCTGTGTTTTGCTTTGAGCTAGAAATAATGCTATATCTATATAAATAGTACCTGACTTGTGATCTGTGTTTTGCTTTGAGCTAGAAATAATGCTATATCTATATAAATAGTACCTGACTTGTGGTCTGTGTTTTGCTTTGAGCCAGAAATAATGCTATATCTATATAAATATAGATTTGTGAAATATGACAAATTTGTTTTTGTCATTGATGGGTTAAAAGATTCTCATAAAGAATTTTTTTCACAAGTTACAAGTATGAACCATTTCAGAGAAGGATAATTTAATTATTAAATATATGTTTTCAATAGATGGAACAAATTTACTGACCTCTGACATATTTGCAAACAGATTTTGCCTGTAATGTCATGGCATCATTTTTGGAGTAATTGTAAAAAGATGCTTTCTCCAGTCATTCAGCAATACAAAATTATTATATAAAACTCATGTTCATAAAAATCATGGATACCGGTGGTTTGAATACATGAATTGAGTGCAATTATGCATTTTTCTTTTTGTCGCAGGATTAAGTTAGAATATGGCGTCAGATGTACCAACTGGTACTTTGATTTCCTTTGATGATGATGATAGTCTAAATAAACCATCAATAAACGAACCAAAAGATGTCAAAGAGAAACCAAAAGAAGATGACATATCAACGGTATATAGATATTATTAATTTCATTCTGATGTCATTTAGAAAATCCTGTTAAGCCATCAATCTATCCACAACTGTTTCTCCAACAGGTGTTGACCAAAACTTGCTGCTCCTTCCCTCTAGAAAGTATCACTTCTGTATATTCTCTTACTTTTATTCACCAAATGCATGACATCTAGTTCTGAATCTTGTTGCCAAAATCCAAGTTTTTTAGCTCTGCTGTCGTCTTTGTTGAGCGAAGCTTATCATATGAGTGATTGTCTGTCAGCGTCCATCGTTGTCCATGTCAATGTTTTACTTTTTCGACTTCTTCTTGAAAACTACAAGCCTGAATGTATTGATACTTGGTGTGTATGTACCTTGGGTAGGTCTCTTTTAGATTTGTTCATTTCATGATATCTTCAATTCTCTAATTTTGGTGAATATTTTTGTCATTTTTGGTAAAAAGTGATATTTTCGACTTCTTGTTAAAAACCGCAAGTCCAATTGCTTTGATACTATACATATTGTTCATTTTCTAATGATATCTTCTGTTCTTTAATTGAAATGTGCATTGCTAACAACGGAGCTATCTCAGCCGACAGGCTGCTTGTTTACTTTTTGGGAGGAATTTTCATTATGTTGTAATATTTTCTAATTGAAGAATCATATAATGGTTTGTTGTTTTACGCTCGGATTATGTAATCTCCATCAACATTCACATATTATTTCAATCTACAGAAAGAAAGTTCAAAATCTAAGCTTTGTGGTTATCTTGATAAACTTGGAGCCAAAGGATTAATACGTGCATTTAAAACAAGATGGTGAGTAATGTTATATTAAATGAAAACTTTGTGTCACTAAAATAAATAAAATTTATGACTATAACATCCAGTATATACTTGACAACAAAGATGTCGAAAATGCAATGTCTTTTTTCCTGTTGTACATTGCAGTGCTTTCTGCAGAGAGGTAGGCTGATTAGAATTCAAATATGAGATGAGATGCATTTGACAAAATAAATTTCAGAGCAGCGCAAGACAGTTGTTGAGTCTTGTCCGATATGGGTCCCATGCAACATGTACAACACTTAGTTTATTGTGCTTCAACTGTAATTGCCCGCAATGTGACAATTATTTACTGAAGTGATTTATTATTGTACTCCTAGGTTTATTTATGAGCCGAGGCGATGTCAACTGTATTATTATAGAACACCGCAAGATCTTGCACCTCTAGGGTAAGAATATTTGTTTATTGAGGGTCTGCTATGACTTAACTTCCAAGCTGGTTTTCAGATAGCTTTATCATTTCATAGAATCGGATAATTTCTGTGAATAACATGTCATCAATAATATCAACTTATTTTTTTGGTTGTTATGTAATACATATATAATACATAATACCGGGAATAATGATATATTCTAATTGGCACATTGCGTTATTACCTAAATTACATATCAGATGATTTTTAATGTTAACTAAGCTAGTTTTAAGTCAGCTGAAAATCCACTAAATGTTAAATTTCACTCACACTGTACTGTATGTGCTTAACATACAAATGTTGCAGAGCCTCATCAACCAACACTACACAGTGTGCTGTAACTGCCTCAGATACTATTCATTGTACTCTACTTTGTTTGTCAGTCTGTCATTCTGCTTTTCTTATTATTATACCCGTCAGTCTCTCTTGGGTTAATGCTTTTATTTTTTTTTTCGAACACATGTGGATTTACAGTTCCTGAATTATTGCTTGCTAAACACAATTAACCTAAGAAGTTAAAATAATGTATGATGTTCAAAGTTCACCCAAATGCAGTTGTAAAATTGTCCTATAAATCACAGTCCCTCTATCATCGGTCTGGAAACGCTTAGTATTACTAACTTACTTACTAACTAACGGGCAAATAAATCGTTGACACCTTACGCCAAGTTATCCCGAAAATAAACTCCCAATGATGTAGTCGTGCATATCATTAACCCACTGGAAATTGCCATGATACTTAGCGATGTGGGTCATTGCACATACGTCATTAACAGCACACGGTTCACAACATTACCATGTGGAAGGCTTACGGCGATTTTGTCGAATTCGACGATGACAACATTGATTGAGATTTTGTTTTAAAAGACGTCATTGAGGAAGAAATCCATGAAGTGCATAAAGATAAACCATGTAGTTCAACCAGTGCCGAAAACATACTGGAGAAACCTTTTACGAGGCATGATTGCCACGCCCACACGCCTGTCAAAACTCCACAACTGCTGTCTGAACGTAAACAAAATTTGTCTATGAAATTAAACTCTTTATTACATCCCAAACAGAATTAAACCACCCCATTAGTTTCAGAAGTAGTTTCTTTAATCACCAAATAAAAATGGAATTGGAGAAATCACTCCATTCCCTTGTAATCGGAACAGAAACTAGCATTACAATTATACGACTGAGAGAATGATGTGATCCAAAATGGCGCCGTCGTGAATACAATGACGTGCAAAACCAAGACCCAAAAATCATACATCTTGTGACATTAAACAATATTTCAATTGATTGTGTTGCCGATACACATAGTTGTTGCAATTAATATGCCTGAAAAACAAAATAAGCAGAAAAAAAAATTACCGAAGTAAAATGTGTACAACAACATAACTGGGACTGGCCATTTTGTTTTTAACGACGCCGTTTACTTCTTAAAAATAAGTGTAATTTTTTGAACGAACAATTATCAAAATCATATATTCAACATGACCATTGTGCTAAACGTATTTCAAATCTACCAAAAACACAAATGTTGTCATGTTGTCAAGAATGTACCGTTAATGAGAGGAACAGAAAAAAACGA